GCATAGTAAAAATAAGGCAATTAATAGAGTTTTACTGCTCATAATTCAATAATAATGTTTGAGACATTTCGGTCGCTTTAGACGGCTGTAGAAACACCTGAATGCAGTGTTTACCTTCATCTGACACTCTCTTCTACCAACATCATGTCCCTCTGAACCAGGGCCTCACTCTAGCATTCTTCCTGTCCATGGAAACTGCTCATGACGCAATAACATATTCATCTGAGTGAAACTAATTCCTTCTGCTTTCATAGTTTTGCTGACACAGTCAAACCCATCTTTGACTTAAGAGCAACAGACCGATTTCCTCTTCTATGTAAAAATGAGAAGATATGGAGTGCTCCGAGAGAAGAAAAGCTACTTTAAGTACTCCGATGCACCTGAGAACCTGAGGGCTACTCACTGAGTGTGTTCATGAGTCCTCCTCCACTCTCCTGGTGGCGACTGGTGGTGGTGGTGCTGGTGGTGATGATAGGCATGCTGTGGTTGGCCGGGGCGGAGGGTGGCGCAGCAGTCCGTTCGTCCTCGGAGTCGCTGCTGCTGGAGCTGTCATCGCTGCTAGAGGACGAGGAGCTGTTGGAGTCTGAGGAGCTGTCGCCGCTGCTCAGCTGGTCCATGACCCGCGCCTCTGCCATCAACTCTGTACACAGTTGCATATGCACAAACAGATAAAGAAATGTGTGACAATTATCCACATTTATGGAAAAGAGTGCAGTAAATAAAACCAAGCAGTCAAATACAGTCACCGACCGGAGCAGCGTAACAATCGAAGCCACTTGCACTTTACCCTAACCCTAGATATGAAGGTACCTATAGTGCCTGACACCACATTACCTCTCTCGATGTCGTCCATGGGGGATGCCGGGGCCGGGGATGTCTTCTCTTTGGGAGGGGAACTCTTGGAGCTGGCTGAGGTCTTGTTACTGCTGCTGCCGTTGTTACTCCTCATCTGTTGGCTGAGGCGACTGGTCTGCTGTTCCAGGCGAGAATGGATCTTACTGCTGCCTTCAGCCCTGGAAATGTAAGCAAAGAAATGTAGAATGTTTCTGTTAAAATGTGGACCATGTTTAAAACAAACTTCTGAAATACCTGTAAAATAAAATGTGAACTTTTATATTAGTTCCCTTTAAAATAATATATATATGTTGCAGAACAATTTAAAAATAAGTGTATATATACATTTGATGAAGAAATATGGAGTAAAAAGGAAAACAGTAACATTATTTGACCTGGTCTTCTTCACAGCTATATTGCTGTTGAGTTTTTCCAGTCTGTACTCTCCTGTGTCATGGTTCACAATGAGGATGCACTCTTTCATGTACGGCCTCTTGGATCCCTTGAAGACTGTTACTGGAGCGCTTGAGCCCTAAAATACGAATTAAAATAAAAAAGGAATAAAAACGAAACAGGCCACACAAGCAGGAGCCACAATAGTGTGAACACGAGCCTCATTTCCCCCAGAGAGTTTCCACCAGACACCAGAGAATAAAGTTTTAATACATGGATTTTTAAATACCATTATTGACTGTTAACTAGTCAATCAAATAGTCTGCACATTACAAGCTGTTTACAGGGCCTTTCTCCCTGCAGGAATAACATTCTGGTTGGAAAATAATCAATCATTTCTTTCTTAATTTACACACAGACTAAAAAAGTAGTCAAATAAAGTTTAAAACAATACTTCAATCAGTCCATCAGCGTAGTCAGGCCCCAAAAGATGTTTTCTGGTAGAGATAAGCTTTCGATCACCAAACACTAACCTCTAAATTGGGTAAAGTAATAGTGACTTGCTCTCCTTTGCCCACTTCAAGCTCCCCTTCACACGTTGTATCAATGGAGGCTGGTTTGAAGTCATCTGGGACAAAAACACATATATATTTGCACATATTACACACATATAAATACACATCATACGCTCAATATCACCAGACAGTATCATTATACTTAAATAGTAGACAAACACGAAGACGGTTGGTCCCTCAGAGCTGCAGCTGTCTGCCGGTACCACCAGGTGGAGGTAGTGAACAGACTGATACAAAGCTAACATCAGCTAACATTATGACAGCTGGAGCATCAATGCTTTCTAATAGTTGAGAGTTAACGGACTCACGGAAACGACAAAGAACACAGAGAACATTCAAAGCACTAAAACGTCTCAACAGCAGGCGGACACAAAGTGACCGGCGATGCGGCTAACCTGTCTAAATGTCAAACAGCTGCCTTCGGATGTTTAGCTGTGGAGCTAACTAGCATGCTACTGTTAGCGCCTGTGAAAGCCAGACGTCGCCTAGTGATTCAACCTACTTACATCGCACTGTATGGTAGGCACTTTTAGGGCGTTTCTCAAACGTCTCTCCCAATTTCAGGACATGTTCTTGATTGTCAAAGTTGGAATAAGCTGTCCCATTCATTCTGATTGTTTCATGTAAACTTTCTGCTGTTCCTTTTCATCCGATAACCATGTATGGCAGAGCCCTGAACGCCTCATTGGTACCGTTAAGTGCCGCCTTCCCTCCGTTGTGATTAGTCAAGAGGACCGTGCCCCTAACTGATTGATTCAACGGCTGTCAATCAGGATTACGTCATTTTCAGGGCATGTGTCACATGGTTTCTTGGCTATAATCAGTATTTTTTTTTATAGTTACTTATTTTTCAGAAAAACTTTGAATAAAAACAGATTTAAATTACTATTATAATAATGAGTCTTTTGTCTTTGAATCCTATTTTTAGTCCCTGTTAAACATCTGGCCAGTTTCATCTCGTCTCATTTACGTTTCTTTTTTGGTATATTTTCTGTATTTGCTTTGAAATTTGTAATATACCTTTAATTAATTAATTACATTTTTTTTTACATTATCTTTTTTATGTGTTCATAATTACTCGCACTTTAGGGCTAGTACTGTTGTTTTTAATGTTTTCACTTTGTATAGCACTTTTTTTAAGAAGGGTGCTGCTGTTTAATACAATTTGTTCTGTCTATCATTGAACATATTCCTTCATAAATAAGATAATAAAATCTGAATTAATATCAGTGTCCATAGCAATATAAAAACGTCCACCCAGAGGTCGTAACATTGAGAGACTACCTTATATACTAATATACTGGGCTGAGTTGTAAACCTAATTACTGAATTAGCTAGGGTAGCTCGTGTGGAGGTCCTGAAGGTCTGGCAGTGAGAGACTAATGAACTGCTGCAGTTACTGACTGCAGTTGCAAGTCCCACAAGCTGCAGGGGCTCTGAGCTCCATGAGCCTGGTGGCAGTGAAAATAATCTCTTTTGCTTTCTTTAAACTGTTAATGATTCCTAAGCCTTAAATTCCTGCCCTGTCTGCACTTTACTGAGGCCATATGCTCTGCTGCCTTCAAACATTAAAGGATCAACATCCAAGACAAGTAGAATGTCGAGATTACACGAGTGTATTATCACCACTTTGTCACAACATGATTCTTCTGTCCACTTACACCGCATGAGGAGATGGTGTGTATATGTGCATGTGTGCAGGTGGGTGGGAGAGTGGTCAGGCATGGAAGGAAAGTGGTTTTAGAGATACTAGGGATCATCTGGAATAGAAACGAAAGAACAGTAATGAACAGAAAGTGGGACTCTAGACCTAGACCTCTAGTTTATATTATGTAAAAATCTAAATAAAGTTCATCAGCTGCAAGAAAATTCAGAGTATAAAGATGTATGAACGTCTTAGAAGAGGACAGCAAAAGTTGATAAAACATGTTTATTTCAGGCAATATTCCTGCTTTTAATTACTGTTTATTCTATGTTAAAGATGCCACTGCCGTGTTAAAAAACAACCAGGATAGATTGCAAAAGGACAAGAATCCTCTTTCACAGTATACGTATCCCTTGTGAAAAGAAAGCAGCAGGGGTCCGTTTCCATGGATGGAGGTAAACAGTGGCTGTCCTCTGGTGATATCAGTTACTGTGGTTGCCCTTGGACCGTGGGAGGTAAGGTTTACTGTTTCCAAGCAACTATCCACAAGTTCACAATACTGTGGTCCAGCCACAATAGAGAATTCCCAGGTTGTAAGCTACAGTAGCAGTGGCGAAAGAGACAGCCCCTGGTCTGCAGAGAGGAAGTCTGCTCAGTCTATACTCAGCCAAAGTAGACATAGCAGCTCGCTAGGCAACAATTACAGTTTCATTTGTTAAGTGTGTAAGCTTATAACCACACTACAGATATAATACTACAGAATGAATTAAGTTTTTGTTTCTTTGTCATGCTTTAAATAACATTTGCAATCAGACTTTCAGACCTTTATACGTGGGTAAACTAAAGATCTTTGGCTTTAAGCTGAGCGAGATGTAACATATGCCTCTGGTTTATTATGCAAATGTACCTAAATTCACTTTTTGACAAAATATTTTCAAAACTTCTTCAAACTTTGATGAAAGCTGACTCTTTTTTTGTATTGCCTTTAGTCATTGCTGAAGAGTGACATGAGAGGGGGGCAGTGAGGGGATGACACGCAGCAAAGGGCCACAGGTCAGAGCTGAACCCATGGCCCTGAGCCTTACACTTGGGTGCCAGCTCTACCAGGTGAGCTATCTGGAGTTTCATCACAAACTACTCTAGTATGTTCTATAGTTCACTATAGTCGTGAATCCACTACTTATAACAATCTGGTCAAAGTCTTTATTTGCAGTAAGCGGTGCTGTACTTTGTGATGTTTTAACTGCGCTCTATCAAACGGTGTTAATATTTTGTCCACAGCATTAAGTTGTATGGAAGACCCTTCCAGCAAACATATACAGTGTAGTCTCACCTTACAGCGTAATGCAGTCCAATGCAACACCACACATTTAAGCCTTGAGACCAATAGAGTAGAAGCAGCTCCTCTTAAAAATAAGATAAGATAAGATAAGATTAGATATTCCTTTATTTGTCCCACAATGGGGAAATTCCAATGTTACAGCAACAAAGTGTAATATAATATAATATAGTATAATATAATATAATATAATATAATATAATATAGTATAGTATA